ATACATCATTTCAAATGTTAGAAAAGGAGCTGTGTAATCTGAACATGGAGCGTGAAGAATAAAGTTAAGTCATTTGTCATGCAAAGCACAGAGTAACTCGTTGCCTTTGTACAAAACGTCACCCAAAGTTCCTTTACAGTTTACTCATGCTGATGTCCCTAATGCAACTCATTTGTATGCTCTGATGCTTATGCCAGGGCACTTTCTTGGGCAAGACTCAGCTGATGCACTTTGAATCTTTATGTGCCAAGGTGATAAAAGCAAGTTCAGTCTTCAAAATAATTTCCAATTTCTGATGAGGCTTGTTGGATAATATTGACTGCATTAAGAAACTAGAATCTTTGAAGGGATTTCATAAGGCAATAGTATTTAAACCTATGTTCCTGCTGGAACTTAGTATTTACTAAAAGCCTTTCAAATATTAAATGAGAGGATTTTTCTTAGCCAAAATAGCTACTTTTAAAGAAAGTTACAGTAATGTGTTGTTTGGGAAAAACTGGTTTATCTGTCAAAAATATTAGTAATCTAGTCTGACAAAGTAGCTTGAATCAGTTGACCCAACTGTTTTCATAGGAATGTTAATGTTACAGTTAAAAAGAAAAATTCATAGGAAACAGATTGAACTTTGGTCTTTAAGTCTACTCATAGTGACTACTTAGATGAAAACTGTCTCAATTCACAAAAATCTAAGTTCATTTATGTTTTGAGTTTTATGGATTGCTTTTATTTTATTGGCCATTTTCAATTTACAAGTAATTTACAAGTATAGGTCTTCAGCGTAAGCCTTATAATTCAGTGTATTACAACAGCTGAGTTAATTGAGAGTGGTTTAAACTGAAGAAAATATATACAGTATAACATTTTACATTTACTAAATGCTGTCAAAATGTTTTTCATCTCTGTCAATATATATCTTGTCTTTTCATCTAAAGTAAATCTAAGTAAAGTAAAAGTAAAGAAGTAATTCAGAGAAGAAATTGCTCTTTTGTTAAACTTTCCATAGACAAAAGTTTCTCAGGCAGGAAGGGCTTTTTTTCTGGAGGTCATACTCCATATTAGCTCTTCCAAAGAAAAAACTGCCCACAAAATTGCTTATCTTATAAACTTTATCTGGTTTTTGGTTTTGTTGTTGTTGTGTTTTGTTGGGATTTTTTAAACTCTGTTGTTCAAGTAGAACACAGCTGTTTCAGTGGGTGGACAGTGATGATGTGTCCATAGAACAAGAAATGGGGCTGAATAGCCTGGCCAGTGGTTTAAACTGAGGATTTGCTTAGCTTAAGCTTCTTTTGTACTTTATAATAATTTCTTTATTTGTGTAGCATTTTTAATTATTTTTTTTTAAATACTAATATAAATTTAATAATAGGGAGGATATCTGCCTGGTTTAGTTTGTTCAACTAACAGTGTTTAGAAATCAGAAACAGAGAGCAAGCTCTGTCACTCAGCACAAAATGTTCCATTTCTGAGAAAAGAAAACCCCTCATTCATCTGTCTAACAAATAAGCAGTGATCCAGTCCTGCTTTTCAGGAATGCCCAAAACTCATCTTCAATCTTTTCAGTGTTTGGAATATGCAAAGAATGGAAGACTGAGCCTGGAGCTGATAAATTCTCCCTTTTAATATTCTTACTTCCATGATTGTAGATTTACCCAAGTTCAGCCAAATTCTACTTTCTGTGACACTCATTCAAATCTGAGTTAACTCTGAAAGTCTTGTTCAGGATTTACACTAGTTTCCCTGAAGATATAAATTGGTCCAATGATATTACAATAATAATTAAAAATAAAATAACCCCCCCCAAAAAAAAAAACAAACAACACCACAAAAGAACACCAAAACTTAAATAGTACACTAAGACTTGATGTCATTGAGTTTATGGATTTAAATGAATTAGTAAGTTAGAGATCCCCCTCTGAGACCTCAGATTCTTCAGCCAAGTGTTTATTTCAGTTTTTAGGAGTTTTTGTCCAATATGTAGTTAATTTGCTGGCCAATTCCTGAAAATATAAGGTTTCCCATTACAGATAACCTGGCCTTTAGCAAGCTATAATTTTGCAAATCTTACATTTTATTCTACATGCCTTTTCCCTGCCAATTCTTTCCTTCATTCCTATGTGGTCTGACTTAGTTCCAGAAGAAAAATCAGGATTGTATTATTTTCAGAGATTATATATAAATACATGTATATTTATTTAATTTCCCACTCCCCACCCCCCAAGTTGTTCAGGTTGCTACTGCTTTATCCTGTGTTGTGAGTGCAATAATATAATCCACTACTCTAAAATATCATGTCATTTGGAAACCTGTTGTATAAGTAATGAACCATTTCTGTAATGAACCATTGCCCTTTAGGATATTTTAAATAGAATCACACACCTGTGGATATGGACCCCCCCCCCCCATCTTTTAATAAATATATTTGAGATGGTTTTATATTTACCTGAACTTCTAGAATTTGAATAATTCTTTTGAGTTTCATAAAGTAGGTTAAAATTATTTTTTTGAAAAAATCCTTTCAGATCAACTGGCATTTGAATTTTTCCAGCTAGTTTAGAATTTCTTTACAGTACTCTGTTAACACTAGGTGTCTTTATGAGGAAAGCTTCTCTCTAATTTTTCTTTAGAAACACTCTTTTTGGAGGACCTTATTCTTTCATCTTCAGGTTTTCCTTGTAGATGTTTTTGTGTAGATCTGCTTGCTTTGCTGATTAGTGATGCAGGAAATTGTGATGTAGCCTTGAGGTTCAACCACTTCCTGATCTTCCAGGACTGTGCTCTAACATGCCACCAGAACTTTTATACTATTTAATTATAGACATCTGCGTTCCTCAAGCAAATTCATAACTTGCTAGATTATAGGAATTTGGTAGGCTAGAGAAGTACAAAATATGTCTGAATTTCTGTGTTCATTTGTTGCTACTGGAAAAGGGCACAGATGTGCTCCAACATAATGATTATCTAGAATTCAAACAAATATTTCAGGTTCTGGCTTTGCAGTTGCCAGAATTTTGACTTGTAGTAACTACTCACATTTGCTTACAACTCCTACGTTCAATATTACTTGTTTGGTTTTGGTGTTGCTTGTGATTCCCTTCATTGGTGGGAGAAAATAAGTAGGATTGAGTCACCTGGGGACAAGAATTTACTTAACATGCAAATGCCTCACAGATGGGTCTATAATGATGATTGCTGAAGCAATGATATTTAGGGATACGAAAGCAGCTAAGTTCTTCTTAGCTGAAAATAGTAACTCTATACTTTGAGAAAATGGGTTCATTTCAGTTGGGCTTCTCAAGAAACATTCATTGAAGAAATATGTGTCAAACAAGAGGTAGACTAGATTTGGAGAAATCAACACGTGAAAGGTTTGTTGCTCATTGTTGATTAGCTTTTATCTAGTTAGTTGTAAAGTATTTACACCTACAGGTAATTGATCTTTCTTGACCTGAATTCAACATAAAAGTTTTATCCAAGGATGTGAATTATGATATTACAGCAGCAGTTTATATCTGACAAGAGAATATGGAGCTAGTGTAACTTGCACAGTAGTTTGCAGTGTTTCTGCTCTTCTAGGAAAGCAGTCCTTTCTAAGAACTTTCAGACAACCTCATAAGAACCTTTTCAGTGGGAATGACCCTACTTTTATATGAAGTACAATAGTATTTTGTTTTGTATGAGATGGATAAAATAACCTCCTCTTCACTCAAATCTTCCTTTTGTCCAGCTGAATAGTTTCTCTCCTCTGGGCCAGTGCACCTTCATTCTGCCATGAAAAACCAGAAAAGTTTGTTGTCTCAGCTAAAAATGTTTGGGAATGCTGGCAGTATCCTTTGGTGAGACAACATGGATGCCAGCTCATGGAAGCAGATATGGTCAAACTACAGATATTGCCTGTTTTTCAGAATGTATAACAGTTTGTTGTTTTGTTTGGGTTTGTTTTTTTGTCAAAATACTTGTTTAAAGTTACAGTTACTGGAAGAAGATTTTTTTTTTCTCTTTTAATTTTTGCAATCTGGTAAAAGTGTGTGTGTTATTAGAACCAAAATTCTGAAGAAGCTTCTTTGAAGTTTGGTCTTGTTACAAATCAACAAATACAGCTTCTTTCTCAATGTGGTGAGGTTTGTAATTCATTGCCTGAATCTTGACCCAATGTAATGTTGAAAGAAAGTGGACCACTTTCGAAGAGAAATTTTGCAATATCATAGTCTTGCCTGTTGCTAAATAAAACTTGGCAGCTTCTGTTGAATTTCCCTTGAGATATGATGAACAGAAGGCTTAAAGTACAAACCATGAAGTACATATGTAGTGAGAAAGATATTTTGTCACAGACACCTTTGAGTAAAATCCTTAGAACAGCACCAGTTCCAAATCACCCTCTCTGATTTTGTGTTGAGTTACACCAGTTAAACATTTCTGCTAAACATCCATCAAGCAAAAAAGCAAAAATGGACTAAATAATGGTCTCTGGATTATAGATGACTATGATTCACATATCACTCCTTTTGACCTAGTGAGTCTTTTGATGCCTGAAGAATACCATTTAAACTAAGGTCAGTTTAAAATGCAAACAAAACCCAAACTGAAACCTCTGATTCTCTAGCATGTTCCATCTCTCCTAACCAGTTGCCACCATGTAAAAAAACCATACAATTTTGAAATTACGCATCTCTTATATTTGGTTTATTAACATTTACAGGAAGCTCCAGTAATCAGAATCTACAAAAATAAAAGGTTATTTGCAGCCATGCTTAGAAAGGACTAACTTCTGTTCACCTAGAACTGAAATACTCTAATGTCTTTATTTTTGGGGCTTTTTGTTTTCATTTCAGTGAGTCATCTGCATGTTAGAAGTAAATTTACCCGAAGTAGTGCTGAGCTAAGCAGGGAGAGTATTATAAATAATCCCACTGAAGGAAAACATGAACTGACAAAATGTATTCATGAGATATTAGCTATGCATGCCCTTATCTTTTCTCATTCTTCTCTTTACATTTCTTTAGATCATAGACGAAGAAGAAACACAGTTCATGAGTAACTGCCCTGTTGCTGTTACTGAGAGCACACCTAGAAGAAGGACGCGCATTCAAGTGTTTTGGACAGCTCCTCCTGCTGGTACAGGCTGTGTCATTCTGAAGTAAGTATTAAAAGCATTTTAAACTAACCATTACATTAAAATTCAGTTAATAAGATATCAAATATTTATTAGATTAAGAACTATTGGCATTCTAAATGCTTTGTTCTTCTTTGGCACTCTTCACCAAGGATAGTCCTATTTGCACAATTAAATGTTAGTAACTTAAAGCCCAAGTGTTCAAAAGTTGCTCCAACTTTCAGTAACCATTGAATTGGTAACCCTAATTTAACTTGGTAGTCTCTCAGCCATTTATTTCACCTAAAGATCCTGAATCTTTGAGATCAGATTTGCATCTGTCTGCTTGAGATTTGGGTAAACGCATTATCTTGGTGAGATGAGTAATAAGAATGGTTTGTAGAATGATTACTTTTAGAACTGGTGTTTTCACTGTTCTTCTACAGTCTTTTTATAAAGTTTGTGTATTAATATTTTTTATGCAATAGACAAAGGTAAGATTATGTAGATGCACTTTGCTTTAGGGCCACTCATTTGTCTGTAGAAACCTTACGTCACTTCTCACTCTGAAGAGCATCAGAGGAAACTGCCAGAGAAACATTGTTCTGTCTCCTAGGATTTTGCTTGTCGTATTTAATAGGATGGATTGGTCAAATATGTATGGACAACTGGGATTTCTTTGCTTAATTTGAATCTGTGTCTGGGATAAGCCTTTGCAATTGCTAAGATGTGCTCTGCAGTAGACTGAAGAATTTCAGCCTTATCAGTACTGATGATGTCTTTAGAGACAGAAAACACCTCTAGGCTTTTAAAGAGATGCTAGGAGAAATGTTGGGCAGAAAAGGTGGATTCTGGAAAATGTGTTGTTAAAGTTGCATTTGATTTCTGAACAGGCTGCAAAATTGCCACCAGCAAAACTGGTCCATGGCTGCCCCTGTCTCACCCTGTGCTTAACTTCCTCTTCCTTTTGCTGACTGATTCAAGAGATAAACACCCTCTTCTTCCACATCTGTGAGGGTGATCTAGCCCCAGCTGTGACGCTCTTTGTGGAAAAGCCTCACATCTTTGGCAGTGCATTTCTACCTGCTGCCTCTCAATATCGGTAAAATAATTTTAAGGTCAGCTGTTCCAATGTGCACTGAAGCAGTTCAAGAATACATGTATGGTATTTTCTTCAGCTCAGGACAGACAAGTGTACATTGGACTGCAGAAAAACTGTGAAGCCTGCTGTTTGCTGGATGGCCAGGCAGGTTGTGTTAATGTTTAAATATGGAATTTTTCAAGAAGCAGACAAGAAGATTCTTCCAGTATTGCTGACCTATTTACTAGTAAAGCTATTTGCTTTTCCCGTCAGGACTGCCTCCCTCTTAGTCGTATATTGCTGATTCATTAGTGTAATAATAAGGTGATGAAGTTTTATACATTCTTTTAAAGAGACAAGATTTAAATGTAAATCCAATAATTATGTGCAACAACACAAGTTGATGGATTTATTTTTTTTTTCCTTTACTGTCCTAAGTAGAATTGCTGTTACCAACAAAAATGAATCAAGACCTATGCTCACTGCAACTTAAACATCTGTGTTTGAAGTTTGTTTAGGGGCCTGCCTGGGTCTTGTCAGCAAAGGAATGTAGTGAAATACCAGCAACTGTGGGAACCTTGATAAATGTTTTCTTCTCTCTGCTGGTAAAGTCATGCTGGATGTTCAACACACTCTGATTTTTACACTGTTAAGTACTTGCATTATTTCAAAAAACACAAGAGAAGCTCCACAAAATAACACAGAACTGCAGTTCTGATTTTATACAAGCACAAGTATGAAATTTTCACTGTCTTAAAGAATGTACAGATTAAATCAGTGGCATATAACCTTCTCAGGCTGCTGGATGTACATGAGTAGTGCAAACAAAACACTGATGTGCCAATATAGAATTGGATTTGCTTACTGGAACCAGTTTCCATAATCTGGGCAGCTAAAAGAACATCTTAGAAAATTAAGTTCATGGGGAAAGGGAAAAAAAAAAAATGTTATAAATGCTTATTTACAGTGCATGAGGGTGGCTAAGGTGTGTATGTCTTGATGAAAGAATTTTGTTAGGTCCTTTCCAGTAAAAATTATGTGAAAAAATATAGGCTTGCTCCCAATGGTTGTTTATTGACCTTAGAAGATGACTACTCCTTTTTTCGAGGACATTTCAAAGAAAGAATGTAAGTCACCATTGCTGATGCCAGAAATTAACATCATAATGTGGCATTAGTTTGTGCTGCGGTGCAGTCCTCCATGACACCGTACATAGCAATTACTGATGTGGTTTTGGCATTGACAACATTTACATTTTTTCTTTCGGACGTAAAGCATTGACCACATCTGAACTAGAGTTTACAGTCAGCATTCTTTCTAAAACCTTTTTTTGGTCAGCTCCCATAGAACAGCATAGAAAATTGGATGTGATTTTCAAGATCGTTCTCTCATTTGTGAAAGCTTTAATGATCTAAGAAAACCAAAATTCTAAAAGGAGTTATTATTATAAATAGTTAAGTCCAAACCAATAATAGAAAAATTCTGAAACTTTGAACTTCAGAGGAAGCAGAAGACCTCTGTATTTTTTGTTTTCTGTGTTTGATGGAGTGCAAATTGTTTTTTATTATCTATATGTATCTGTTTTGGTCCTTACAGACTATCGGATGATTTTATAATTTCCAAACCAGAATGACAGAGTTTTGGAGCCTGTTCTGATTTACAATGACATGCTTCTTCCTTTTCACTATGTCCTGGTCTACTGACTTCAATATATAGAAAAGTTATATGTAGTTACAAGTTAAATGTAGCTGTTTCATAAAAAAAAAGTTATTATGGTTCTAGTACCAAATATTGGGGGGTTTAGATTTATAAATGCATAATTGAGTCTAGAGTCTTCCAGGATGTTTTCATTTGACTGGTACTGAGTTTTGCGAAGTTTTATTTTGTTGGGTTTTTTTGTGATTTTTGAAGTCTGATACCTTTGATAGGAACACTTGCTTGCCCACATTTGACTAGTAGTCTTCTCAGTGCTTTCTAGGATAGTGCATGCTCTCAGCTTGGCTGTGCCAAGCATAAAATGTCATGCCCGAATGGTAATCTGTAGTTCCTGGGTTCAGCAAGGGATGCTAAATCTTTTTGGCATGAGCACATAATGTGTGTAATGCTGGCTTTCTGGGTGACTGCAAATTACAAAGTTTAGGAGAATTAGCATATATTTGAATTTGACTTATCATCACTTTTTTGTTTTCTAAAACAGCTCGTTCTGTGTGAAAACTGAAAAAATTAGGGAAAAACAAAAAAGAGGAAGATGGATTAACATACCATATTGCACTGTACTTGCTTAGTCGAGAACAATTTCTCCATTCTCTTAATTCCCACTAAGTGATGACAGTGAAATAGCCTAAAGGTTTGAATCCTTTCTAACTCCTTACTGGAAGTGCCAGTGTGCTGAATGTATTTTCGGGATGCAAACAATAGCTGAGGCTTTATTTGTCCAAGTGTTTAAGCCTTTGCTTGAGTCTCACTGGAGAGAGAGGGCTTTGCTTAGATATTACACTATGCTTGGGAGACCCTCGAGGTTTAAGCCCTCTTCCTACTTTTCTGATGAGTACTAGGAACGCTGTGCAGCTAAATGCAATTATAGGATGGCAGGCAGATTCCAGCATATCAGCTCTTAAAATTATTTCTGAAGATGGGTGAAATGCAGAAGCAGAATACAGCTCTGGCGATGGCCCCAGACACTGAAAGGCAATTTTAAGCACCTTGATTTTTAGGATGACCTGATGGAAAAAGAATGCATCATTGGCAGTCAAATTGAGTAGTCGGCCTCACCGTAGCAGTAGGTACTTGATAGAAAGTTTTGCTCTGTGGAACAGTTATTGTAAAAAGATAAATCAAAAGAATGTGTTTGGATCTCATTTAGCAATAAGGATTCACTTGGCTGCCCTAGCATCTGTGCTAGCTTCAGGAGCTATTCAGGATCAGCATGAGCAAGAAAGTACTTACAATGTATTTCTTGTTTCTGTGGTTAAAGATATATATTTGGACCATTCTAAGCTGCCATGCTGTACACAATCTACTTGTTTTTTTCTTCACAATGCAATGCTTCATCTTTCTGTCCCTATTTATTTTTCCTCGTTCCTCTATGATTGATCAGAAGCTAAGGTACCATGGGGCAATATGGGAGGACCAGGTGATTTCTTCATCTTCTGATAAAAGTTTACTAGATTTCTGGGCTCTTCAGAATGCATTTGCTTTCTAGCATCTTTATAAAATGTACTGTTAAAACTTTATTGAGAGATATTTGTGATTATTTTTGCCAAGGACAAGTTATAGCAAAACTAATTGTCTTATGGACAATTGAGCACTGGCAGAGCCTGGTGTCATTTACATTATCACATGAAAATGGAGAAATTTTTAGGGATTTGAACCCTGGCTCAGCCAATCTGTTTTGATATTTTGTGTAAGCAAATATGAATACTTTGAAAACTTTTTAAAAAAACTTTTTTCTGTATGTAGACTGTCATGTTTGGTTTGGCATATTCTGCTTATCAGCAAAAGTTTACCAGCACATGTGCATTTTTTTTTTTTCTTGTTTTATATCTGGCAGCTAATATTCAGCGACTGTGCTTAATTCTGTAAAAAAAAGCTGATACAGATTTTTCTAGTTTAACAAGGGAAGCTTTAAGTATGGATTTCAATTAGTTATTCACACTATAGCTAAAAAAAACCCCCAACATTTATTAAAATTTCCTTTCAAATGATAGAAAATCACCTTTTAAACCACTTTTGGCCCCAGAATTTCTAGATTCAACAGGTTAGTTGTATTCCTCAAGATAAAGTGTTTCAGTTCAGTGTGGTACTGGACAGGTAGGAAAATGTCTGGCCAGTGTAACTGATGGAAAATACAGAACAGAATAATATTCTGCAAGTATTTTTGGAATTCTGTAATATAAAACAAGAGTGAAGAAAATTTTGAAGTGTCTTGGCTTGTCACATTTTAAAGTTTCATAGCAGGGAGAAT